AGGGCAGCAGAACCTCGTCAAACCAATCCCTCAGCACAAAGGCAAGACTCTATGTGCAGTGTGTACAACTGACTACATTACTGCCTGAATGGCATTGATTAGTAGTTTGAAATAATTGTGTGTTACTCCAACAGGAGTGGAAGGCAACAGTGTGGTGGTCCCTGAGAGTAATGGTGATGGGGTTCTTGGGTCAGACTTGGGGGAGATCTGGCTCCCTGAGATGGACCCTATAGTGGGAAACCCATCTTCACTGAGCCTGGACGAGAAGGCCGGGTTGGGAGCCATGGATCGTGGAGAAGACGCCAACATGATGGAGGACAGACTAGTGGAAGATCATCTAGATGAGCAGCCGTTGGAGGAGAAACACAACTGTGAACGGCTGAGTCCACAGAACCAGCTAGAGGACACTGAAGCAGACCCTGCAGCACTTGAGACCATATTCATAGCCCCGCTAGATGGCAGCCAAGCAGAGCTACGCACAAGGGTCATAAAGGAGGTCCGCAAACCTGGACGAAGTGAGTGTGACCCAGAGCAGCGTGTCACGTCACATTCACTTTTATTCTAATCTGCTAGAGTGAATGTAACATGGCTGAACAGTTTGTTCATTTTTGTCTATGTCTCTGTGCTTGTTCTCAGATTATGAGTCAATACTCAGACTACTGCAGAAAGTGAAAGGACCACCTGATGTTCACAGGTACTTCATCCAACATGCCATCAAAGAGGCTGTCAGGTAAGAAACTGGCTCAGTTTTAGTTTTGTCAGTGTAGAATTAAATGGAAGAGTTTTGGATCTTATTAAAGCTTCTCAGTTACCCTGTCTGTGAAACAGAACATGCCTGTTCAACAATGTGTCATTTAGACCTGTGTCACTGCAGTCACACCAGACTGTAGATTTTGTATCTTTGAAACACTGCTGTTATTAACAATGACTCATAAGCACATTGCAGTTATTTTTATAGCCTTTTAATCTTTCACGGCTCAAAGCTGGCTCCCTAGACCTAAATTTCCAGAATAATTATTATACCCTATTTATTTCCCTGCTTCTTTCTAACTTCTGTCCCAGGTTCAAGAAGCGGGTTCTGATCCAGCAGCTGGAGGTCGCCCTCTCTGAGTTGGAGGAGAAGCGTGTGATGTGTTCACAGCTTCTCAATGACCACGGCCAGTAGTGATGAAGCATTTTTGCATTGATACTGAAGGATATTTTGTTGACTGTTGGATATCACCACCATAAAGGAGACATCCTTGCTGACTAACCTCAAAAAGACAAACTGGGGAACCAGAGGGGGAGAGAACAGATGCACTGACAGCAGGTCTGCTACTGTCCCTGTGCTGTTACATCACATCCTTTTCGAGGCAGAAGGTGACATCGATATGGCTTTGGTCTGTATTAGCACTTTGTTCAGCACACACACATTAGACATGCAGGATTAGACAGGATCGTTCCTGTCACTGTTCTTTAAAAACAGACCTTTCTTCAGCTGGTCTGAAAAGTGTTTGAAAGTCTGCAACCATTTTCTCTATGAGTAATAAAGGTAGATGTGGATGAATGGCTGACAGGTGAAATCTGTTCCACCCAGGTACACCTCATATTTTTAGTGTTATATCTGCATAAAGGATGTCCTGATGTATATTTTTGTCAAAATTGATGTTGATATCTAATGTTTTCCTCTTCTTATCAGCTAATACTGATAGGCAATAACATTAGATTTGGGTGACATGGATAACATCTATGAGGGTGTGTCAAATTTTACTTGCAGTAGCAATATTTATTGTGATATGTGGTCAATTTTCTGGAAATTCCATTGAGAAACCACTGAAAGATAAAGTCCCCAGATGGGAATATGTTTTTTTATGGTTAATATAGTCAGTAAAATACCTGACAAATCAAGGTACTACATCACATTGATGTAAAAATCCTGTATATCCATTATTATTATATTAGGATCTTCAGTATAAATGCCATAGGAAAATCTCAAATGGCTGACAAACCTCTTGTCATCTCATTGCATCTATTGTCATATTGCCCAACCCTAATTAGTGATGGGGTCCTTGGTTCTTGATTTGACAGTTGTATTGACATGTCACAACAAGCTAAAACTGATGGACAACTGTAGTGTATAGATGTATCAGTGTTTTGAGCCTCTTGCACACGACTATGTTGAACTGGACACCACACAAGTGATGATATCCATTTAGAAAATTTACCCTCCACCCACGTGAACACAAGCACACGTGTAAACCCTCCTCAACACCACAAACACTCCACTGATTCCCAGATTGTCTTTGCATTATTCTGAGGGGATGTCTCTGTATCTGTCCGGGCTCAGTGTTGAACTTAAACAACTGCCCTCTGCTCATTTTTTGTTCTCCTTGTTTTTACCACAGATGTACACTACTTTTTAATGTTCATAAGGAATATAGATTATTTTTGTGAATTTGTTAATTTTCAGAGTATAAAATATTTTGAAATAAATGTTTGAAGGCAGTTTTGTAAACTGTCAAATACAAAGTGGAAAGTTTTATGAACAGACTTTCTTTTTTTTTTTACCAAAATAAAAAAATAAACCACAGGTAGGATGGTAGTTACTGTTTTGTGTGTCAGCGTGTGGCATTCAGTAGCATAAAATAGCCATCAAATGACTTTTTCCATCAAGGCATACAACAGTATGTTCTATAAACTGAGCTATAGATGTCACATGAAGCCTGCGTACATTTGTAATATGTTGGAACAGCTGGAAAATTGGTTTCTTGACTTGTAGAAATTGTTATGCTTTGTATTTTTAGCTTGTGGGTCTGCATACAAATCTGATGTAAACCTTAGATTTTAGATTGATCTGATATTGATTTTACTGAATAACAAAGTATTGACAAATGTCAGAGGAATGGATTTGCTCTTAATGCACAGCTCCAGGCACACAAACACTTTATGCAATAATTTCCCACTTACCACCCCTTAAAATAAATAATATCTAGCAACCCCTTATCACCAGCTGCCTATTTCCACTAGCTGTGATCAGTATAAATCCAACATAAATAGTATAAGTTATTTTTATCTGCAAGCGTGTTTAATCCAAGAGGACCCAGCCCAAACTAGTTAAGAGGAGAGATGGATGTAAAGCACTTGATACTACAAAAATCTTGGAACTTGGAGCAGCGTGTGAAGCTTGGTGAAGTACTCAGACTGAAAGTTCAGCCTCTGCTGACAACTAGAGTCTAACATAAAGAACTGTAGCATTTATGATCTGGTGGAAAATTTTGTGATGCAGCAGTCCAGCTACAAGGTCACTGCTACAGTACACATCTACATACACTCATGCTACAGTGATTTAATTCCTGATAGCCTTAGCTTTTGTACCCAGTGTATTAACATTCAATAAAAAAAACGATGGCAGGGCAGTAAAGGACCAATGCCTTTCAGTTGTTTTTCGTCTTAAAAGCCCTGAGCTTGTAGCAGTGACTGAATCATTTTTGTCTATCAAAAGCAATAAAAAAATAAAGAAATCTCACATCCTTTTAAAATCAATATGCCTTTTTATTAAAACAATCTGTTGAATCCTAAAATGTAAAATGAGAGAACAAACTTCAGAATGAACCATTATGCTGCCTTAGTGCTCACAGTATGAAGAGAACAGCTGTCTGTTTTCTGTTCTCATATTTCTCCCCTTCAGTTGATTTCCTGTGGCATTAATGCAAATCTCTCGCTTGCATACACGAGGTACAGAAGAAGCCTTTCTGCTTCTAGGAAGTCATCGAGGAAATCAAGGGTTCTCAGGTCATATTGCAAAATTCATTCAAATCGTTGCCCAGCTAGCTGTTCAAGACTGATGTGTAGTTGAGAAAAAACAAGGACTGTAACATAACAGGCCCTTTATGCTTCTCATACAAAGGGCATACAAAGCACAGCAGTATCCCAACTGAGACAAAAGGGGGCAAGTGTAGTATGTCAAGACTCCAAAGCTTTTACCTAGTGTATATACAAACAAAACTGTATATACAGAGTCAGTGCTGAATATGGTGGCGACCACTTCTATGGACAGAGATGCATGTTTGTACAGCATATTAGTTTATGTACAAATACAAATTAAAGCAGAGGAAGAGGAATTCTCACTTTGTTCCCTCAGTCTAACAAACACAAATCTTATCTGATGATGATGATGATCATGATGATGATGTAACAGGCAGGAACAGGCCAGTCTCAGTGCAAATGTTCCAGCTTACGTAGCCGGATGGGGTTGGGAAGAGCTTGCTGGTTGCGTGCAGAGGACAGCTCCTCCTCAGGTGAACGGAACAGCACCCGACCACGGTGATTGAAGAGGTAAAATGATGGGTGGTTCCTCAGTGTATCAAATGTTCTGAAAATCAAATTAAAGCTATGAAAAGGCTGGAGGTGCACAAAAATAGTGGGGCTTTCCAGGAGAAGAAAAGACATTTATGCACATGTTGGACACTCTAGCAGCTGTACCATACAGCATTTGTCAGACAGGACTAAGACCACTTTGAAGTGTTTACAGTGGGCAGATATTTGCAATCTGCCATTCAATCTACTCTGAGTGACAGAAAATTAGCCAGAAACATTCTTGATAAGCAATTTCAGTTAATGATAAGTTAGAATTGGATTTCAGGAGTTGCAGTTGTTTTATTTACTGTTAGTATTATTTTGCTTTTATAATGATAAAGTTTAGTATGACTGTTTGTGTTTTATTAACAGCACCCTGTATCAGTATTAACCTGGCTCTTATATATGCATAATAGTAATAATTTTCAGCTGCAGTTCAACTTGTAGTGTTTCTTATTTTCTTGGATAATTGTGCAAGAGTAGATTGCATAGATAAGTGTCCTGGCAACCAAAGATAAGAAACTGTTAATTTATGCTATTTTACAGACGTGGAAGTCTGACAGCTTGAACATTTCAAGCATGTCTGAACTATGTGTAAGGGATTTTTTACAACAGAATTAGGGAAGTAAGTGACACAGCTAACTGCATGTACATTTTCAGTTGGAAAGAAACGCCTGAAAATAGAAGATAACAACATACACACACACACCTACTACCTATATGAACATTCTAGAATATTGATGTGTAATGTACCACCCATGTATTGGGCAGTCCCAGCCTGAGAAGATAAATGTAAACGTTTGGTGATAATCGAGGCTCTTGGAGACTTGTCATCTCTCAGAGTCCAGCGCTGTAATAACTCTGCATTTAACCAGAAGAAAATAAATCTACTTGAAGCTGATTCCTGTATCCTGAGTGTTACTTCTTGGGGCCTTCAGACAAAAGAACCTGGTTAAAACTAAAAATAATCATATTAGTTCTTTGTCAAATACAACAGATAATTTTAAGATATCTGTTTAGGTTTTGTTAGTAAGGTATAACTGGCAAATGGAAGATAATACCTCCATCTCCTGGAAACTATACAATTTAACTATGTTTAATGTTTCATATACTTGATGATGAACTGATTCATAACATCCCTCAGATTAGTCGATAATACAAATAATCATTAAGCAGCCTTAATACGTTTATAATAAGTTTAACATACTAGCAGCAGGTTTAAAAAGAAAAACCCTCCCGGTCTGTGATGTAAAGTTGCTTTCAACCTTCACAGCATATTAGCCACGATAAATCAAAACATCGACTGAGGGAGATGTAGTGTGTCTCTGTGGGCGCTGGTTCAAAGTAATGTTACTATAAATGTGACTGAGGTTGTGAAATGCATGCTTCCCCGGTGGCAGAGGACACAAACAACTGCATTATCAGGAGAGTAAGATGCTGTAGGATATAGCTCCACTTACTTGTTTTTCAGCTCTGAGGAGGCGTCCATGTCTTTAAACTCTCCAGCGATGTGGACAATACCATAACAGGTCATCACAAACGACAGTAAGGTCTGTAGTACAATCTGCAAAAAGACAGCGAAAAGCAGAAATCACTCTTTGGGGTTTAACTGTTAAAAAAAAAAAAAGAGTCAGACAATTAACATTATCTGGGTGAAAGTCACTCACATCAACTGGTAGTGTCTCGTTTTCTTTCTCTGTGAGTCGCATGTATGCTCGATCTGATGACAAACATATCAGGTAGAACACCGTTACACTAGGATAGCGGTAACGTTAACGTAACTAAGTAGCTAAGATGGACTGAGAAGTCGTCGTTAAATTTTAAGTTGACGCTAGTCACCCTAAACCTTGCATATCACAGAGGTGTATTAGCTTAAAATGTAGACGAGCATTTCAGTCTTTTCTTAGGATTCAAAGAGGAGCTAAGATGCGCTAGCAACTACTTAGCTAGCTGTTGGACCGAAAGGCCCAAACTGGTATTTTATCAACCTGCCTGGTGACAGACTCCCCGTGGAATAAAGAAACATTTCGAAACCCGTGTCTTCGCACCCCGCACTGAAACTTACGCTGTGCCGCAGAGAACGCTGCATGAGCTAAAGCAAAAAGTCCAACGCCGACAACACCTTTCCAAAACGACGAGGCCATCGTGAACCAAGAAAATAAACGAACAATGGCTACTGTCGTAAAGCTATGTCGTAAACAGCCGCAAACATGACCCTGTCAAAATCAGACTATACAAAAATTCATTAGCAACGGCATGAAATGAGAACGTATTTAAATTAAGTTATGTATAAATATACACACCGTGGGGTGGTGTTATTGTTCATTTATTTATGTCTGTTGTTTATTTGTGTCAATTTATTTGTCTTGAACAAACCCCCGAAATAGTTAAGTGTCTTACTTTGAAGGGACTAGTTAACATCCACTGTATCCGTTTCCTTAATTTGATACCCACATTGAGCTACTTTGTACTACTTGGTTACTCTGATATATTTATTCAGTCTATAGTACTTACTTGATCAAATACAAACATGGCAGAGGCCATTCAAAAGAAATTAAAAGCGGAATTAGAAAAATATACGCAGATGCAGAAAGGTAGGTGCTACCATAGCATTGCTTTTTTCCCTCATATCGTGCCATGTTGTAGCGAGCTAACTGACCATGTCGGGATAGCTAGTCGTGCATTAGTTAGATAAAATCGTTTGATATAATATTAATCTGTCCATCTAAACTGTTATTTATGTTAAATACTTTGTTTTCGTTGCAACACTATAATAAATGTAGTTAGCATTTCTGCTCACTAGCAAATATCTGTTGTTCAGATGTTAGCAAGAGCATGTCAGCCAGACAGAAGTTGGAAACGCAGCTGACAGAGAACAACATCGTCAAAGAGGTAAGCAGTAGCTAATTTTCTTTCTCAGAACTTAATTTTCTCCACTGGAAACTGTGGTGTTTTCTACAATTAGGCTGAACGTAATTTAACTGTCAAATGATAAGCATTAAATATATGACATCTGTCTTTCCAGGAGCTGGATCTGCTGGACAGCACAAACACAGTTTATAAGCTTATTGGCCCTGTATTAGTGAAGCAGGATGTGGATGAGGCCAAAGCCACAGTCACTAAGAGGCTGGAGTATATTAATGGAGAAATGTGAGTCACTGACGCCTTATTCCATTCATTAGTGATCATGCCTATAGTCCTACAGGATTATCAGTTTGACTAGTTTTTGGATTATCTGCACATGATATGGGTTTGTAATGTCAGAAATGTCCAAACCATAAAAAATGAGAGATGCTTCTCCTATTATTAGTACAAGTGAGACCACAATACTTGATATTCATCAGAAGAGCCTTGTATTAGATGAATTGTTTATTACGGCCTATAAGCTATTTTTAAGCTTCTTCCGGCTCTTTGAAACCAGGAACTCACAAAGACGAAGTAAACCACTTGGATATATAAAAAAATAACCGTGCTGGTTTATTCAAAGAATCACAGGTAAAATTAACATTACACGTCCAGATCTCTTCCACCTCCGACCAAAAATGAAAGACCCTGAACCATAATGCCTATACAATTTTATCACTTGGTTGGGATAGCCCATTCTACCCAGCAACGTCAAACCGTGACGTCACCTGATATGCCAGCTTTGCAGCTGACCATAACAATAGTCAAAACATGAAGAAAGTCAAGGTGTGTGGCTGTTGATTAGTGGTGTGTATCTAAGAACGTTTTGACCTGACATTACACATAAGAAAATATGATTACCATTACAGTTACACATATCATAATAATAGCAATAACCTCCTGCCTGCAAACTGTCTCTATTTAGTTGTCCTTGGCCCATATGCAGCCTGCAGAACTCATGAGAATGACTAGGCATTTAACAGCCTGAGCTAGACAGCCTGGCTCCACTAAACATTTCTAATACAACAAATCTCTAACAAATATCTATCTGACTAAGAAATTACCTAACAGGCCAATAACAGTGAGTAGTGTGGTGGATAGACACTGTCACAGTCTGAGGTTACCGTGTATATTTTGCCATAATAAGAGAAGATGAGAATATCAGAGACTGTTGATTTAACTTTATGGGTATGCTGTGATGCTATTGAATTGTTTAACATTTTATTACAACATTTTTATAATATTCCCCCTGCCTAGTCCTTCTGTGTTTGTGGGATGGGTATAGCCTACACAAAATATCATTACTGTACCACTGCATGGAGTGAAAGCAGTTAATTTGTAAAGAAGTATAAGTACCATCTCTTGTGTTAAGTGGCCAGTGTGGTC